TTTTATTGATCAATTTTTAATTTGTTGTCGGCTAAGATCATGCCGAAATTTAATTAATTTTTTTTAATTAATCCGTTGATGTACAAACAAAAATTTTATAGGTACAATCATGTACTAACGATGTACAATCGAGTACATAATTGCGTTTTTCGAATTACTGACTTTTGTCGGGTAAGTACCCGGGGGTCCCAGTATCCCCTATGTGTGATGGCGCTTCAAGCGCTACGCAAAAGGTATATGCGACACGCGAGGTACAACGGAAATTCATTCCGAATAGGCAGTTATTGTTTTTTTTTCGTCATTTTGTCAATTTCAAATGATTCTACTTTGAATTTGGGTAGCGAAAATTTGGTTTAGCGCAGTAATCCCCAAAAACAAAAACTACTGTTTTTGTAGAAAAAAAACTGCCGCAGGTACGTACCTTTAAATTGACTGTTTTGTCGTTCACACGTGCAATGCAATGAAGAGAATGCTACAAATCCTTAAATTTTTAATGTACTAGGTGATGATGTATTGAATCTTGAATTTGGTTCAAAGACAGAAATCGATAAGTTAAAAGTGAAAAGTTGAATGAAAACGGACCAAGACATTGACCAACAGAAAAATTCAGCTATTCAAGAAAAAAACCGTACTTGATGTACTCTTGTGAAAGACCTGGAGCTATCAAGTACACTAAGGGCGGTTTTTCTTAACAGTTAAAATTTTCGGTTGGTCTATGTAGTGTTCAGTTTTCAAGCAACTTTTGGTTTTTAACTCATCTATTTTTGTCTTCAAACCAACTTCAATATTCTATACATTATTACCTACTGCAATCAATTTTCGAGTTGCGAATTTCTTAATACAAGTAGAGACATCTTCTTCTCCTCATCTTCGAAAAATTACTGATTCCCCTGTCTGATGTTTTTTTTCTCAGTACAAGATATCGTTTTATAGCAAATTTTTGAGTTTGTGTTTATTAGTACAAGTAAAGGCGTGCTTCTTAAAAATATTTTCAATTCATGTAATTACAAGTTCTATCTTATTGCATTTCTTGAAAAATATTTTTATGAGCTTAGTGACGTAATCTGCTATTTTTCTCAGATAATTAGCGCACATTGGTTTGATTGGCGCTATAAGCTTATATTCATTGAATATGAAATCATTTTGTACAATTATCAATGAATTCATGGGAGGAACGAGAATGATGCCCCCGTCGGCAGTAGATATTTTTCTACAAATGTGATGAACGTCGTTATTGGGCAATTCTAAAAATATTTTTCGTCGGCACTGAAATGAAAAATGTTCTTTGCTAAATATATTTCCACTCCCGCCAGTAAATCTATATAGATGCTTCCAAAAGGCATGCTCATGCCATAGTATATTTCCGGACTATTGGGATGGGGGTTTTTTACTCGTGTGGACCACACGATTAAAAACTCCATCCCAACAATGCGGATATTATTTATTCGTAGTAAGTTGGAACTTTTCGAGTTTGGGAAGGATGTAGTACCAATTCTCCGATGAGAAATCGTGAGAAGCACTACGGAAAAATTAATTTTCTTGGAAGGTTTGAAAACAATTTGTGACTATCACCATTTTTTTAATTAAATTAATCGCTGGATATTTTGAAATCTACATAACATAGTAAACATAGTTTGAAATCAATTTCGGAATTTTTTAATTGATTACCACACAAAAACGCCTTCAGCTCAGACCAGTCTTGCAAGTGGCGAGGGATGATCTGTTTTTCAAGGCTGGGTGGGAAAATAAATATTGCTTATTTAAGACACTATTGGGAAAACTCTTTTGGGTACAAAGACATTCCCAACAGAAATTTTCTTGAAATTATTTCAACTTACATCCAGTTCCATTTGTATCAACAATAGTATATTACGCAACCAGTGCGTAATGGATTTTTTGACTCGTGAGAGGGGTGTAACACGATCTGAAGGCGAGTTTTACAATCCCACGAATGAAAAAAATCCATAACGTACATGTTTCGTAATATAATATTTTATGTCATTGGACCCGTAATCCACGATTCTACCGAGCAAAGTGAGGTTAGAATGATGTAATTACGGAAGTCATTTATGACATAAATAAATTTTTTGGTATTATTCCTCTTTCCGCCTTGCCTCGCGTTCCCCTAATTTGCTGATATATCTAGATTGTTACAGATGCCTTTACATCTGTTAATAGAGCACGATTTTCACGTCATAAAAGGCATCAAAATAATATGGCTATTTTTCAGTAATTTACTATTCATGCTTTAACTTCAGTGATTTATTCGCAATCCCCCACTAGAAGAAGAAGTAAACACAATTTACTCCGAATGTACTTAACACTGTAGAAGTATTCGCCACCATGTCTCGATTATTGTATAAAGTAATTATTTATGACGTTAAAACACAAATATTCATCATTCGTTACTTAATACAATTGTACGAAATTCTATTTTTGGAATTGGAGATTTTTTATTCTGACAACCTTTGTAATCAATGGCTCATACTTTAACATGATGGTGTAATAATTGTCTTGAATCAAAAGAAATCATTTTTCGTCTAATTTTTAATATTTATTTAATCGGCTAATAATGGAAGTTGAGCAGGAAAACGTTTAAAATGAGTGATTTACACCATTATGATATTTTTTTGAGATACCTGAGTACATGCTTAATGAAATCTGAAAATTGTATGTTTTGTACACTGATAATACCAGCAATGTCCTATAATAACAAAAAAATCCTTGTGCTCTATTCTATAATTATGGTATGAAATGTGTTAATAATAATAACAGTAAAAACGCATAAAAAATCACTTACCTTATATTTTTATGACCTTTCAAATAAGATGGTTAAAAATAGTTACATTAAAAAAAATTAATTTTCCATGTATTTTTACGCAGTATTTCTCAATATAATGAAACATACAGGATGAAGAAAAGAAAGAGGAATCTAATAG